AACCCTGCCTGGGGCCAGTGTCAACCATTAACATTAAGACCCCCCCCTCCATGTAATGTCGTCTTCAACCTAAAAGCTCCTCTCGGAGACGAGAAACCAAACCAAACAATTTCAGCCTGCTTCTCTTTGTTCCCCGACAACGAAATATAAACACTTTTATTAATTGTGAACCACTTCAAAGTTAAGCAAAGAATATTTTCATATAAAGTATTAGTGACTTTCCTTAACATTTAATTGTCACTCTTTCAGAAATTTTAATGTATAAAAAAGCGTCTTAGGACTCCCCGACAGTTTAACCCACAAATACTCAAATAGATCGTAAGAATCTTTTTATTATAAATTTGTAAACCATTGTAATAATTATTTATCATTATTCATTTCATTTTTTTTAGGAAATAAAGAGTTTTCTGCATTATCGATTTATATTTGAGGGTTATTCCGTTGTCTATCTGTTCATTGTCAGAATCTTGTTCCTATCCGACAACAAAGATTTATAAGACTATAGAGCTACACTTACTGGAAAACAAGGGCAGAGGGACTACAGAAAGACCATACACACGTTTATTTCTATGGAAAGACAACAAATAGTCGCAAAACGTACTTCCAGGAACTGCTTACTGCTTAAAACTACACGGACCTACAATTAATGGAGTAAATGGTGGACAAAAAGGACTATAAGTGGATGAATTACAAAAAACTGCTGTAGACTGAATGTAGGGGACTTTATACACACCTAGTGAATATGACTAAGACATATACTTACAGACACTAAGAAATAGATAAAAAAGATGCACCATAAAAAAAGTGGAAAATAAGACACGAGAAAATCAGATTTTTTTGTGCGCTTCGCACACACATTCAACGAATTTACTTTTGTCGTTCATTTTACAGCTGTTAGAACTTTTAAAAACAATAAAATATAAAATAAATCAGTATACTACATATACATATACAGTATATATATTCAACACAGCCAAACCTACAATGATCAAAAAATTCTATTTTTTTTTTACTTCAAACTCTTAACAGCGCTTTCATTTTGAATATTTTTTACCCTCAACAAAAACCTTGAAAAAAATTAATGACGACCTTAAACTGTTTAAACTAAATTCTAAGGTTGAATTAGGGTTTCTGTCTAAAATAAAGTCTAATATCTATATGATGAAACAAGACATTATATATATGTCGCCTATAGCCGGCCATACGGCTGGACCGAATAGGCTAAAATGTTTTGTATACACTCATAGTCATGGGTGGCCGGGGGTTGCAAGGCTTACAAATTCGAAATATTTGTTTTCAAATTTTTTATCTTTTTTTAATATTATTTATATAAAATGTTTTCAAATTTTTTTCCACGAGTAACGCCGGGCCTTTTAACTAGTTAAAGAATGAAAAGATTAATGGATTGTAGCTGCAGGGAACCACGAATGTATGAAATAAGGTCTTATCCTTTGAGGGTAATCCCGAACCTGACATTATTAATGAAAATATGCAACTCGGACACTATTTATTTGCACAACTAAAAGACAATTAAACTTCTGAAATAAGATGACAATTGATTATTAACGAAAGTCACTAATTCTTTAAATTAACTATTCTTTGTTTAATTTTTGAAGATAGATTCACGATACGTAATTGGCTTTTGTTTATAGTTCCGTCGGAGAGAAGAAAGACCCTGGGGGTTGAAGTTGTTTGGTTTGGTGTCTCCGACGACTTTACAACAGAGACGAATTGTTAGTGGTTGACAAGTTTATTATATAATTATGTAGTGAATAAACTTTTGTTACACAAAAATAAAGCCGTTTATTTTTTGTAAACTAGCAGCCTAGGTACTGTCTGAAATTTAAATCATATTTGCCCCAAAAAAGGTTTTTAGGCGCTAAGGGATAGGTGGAGAGACCCTGCAAAGCATGAGGTAAAAGAGTTTCTCTGTTGCGAATATCTTCCCTCCCTTTTAATATTTCTTGATCTACAAAGAAAGAATATAAATTACAGAGGAGCCTTTTATTTCTTTTTGAACAATTCCAATTTTTGACGTATGTTGACTCTTTCTGTTTTGATAAAAAGCAAGTATTAAGATATATTTTTAGGAAAGCATTGCTTTTCTGAATGATGTTGACTGCAGGTAGAAGAACAAACTTAGTTTACGAATTTTCGCAAACATAGACAAATTCTTAATCAAAATTAGATCTACAATTAGGTATAAGTGACAAAGTTGAAATCTCTTTAAAAATGACTAAAGTAAAGTTTAAAGATTTAAAGAAAAATATACTATTTATTTAAACCTTCAAAAGAATCGCCTGTTGCAGCGACCACTTCCTTAGTCCTTACCCCGGGCCATGAAGTCAGGGCAGGACTCTATGACGTGCGCGCCGGGTATGTCCATGAATGGAAAGTGCCCTCACCACAGAGATGATAAAGGACACCCTTGTGATGTTGGCCAAGGACCACGAAAAAAAAGTCATTTAGCCACTTCTGTAACTTTATTACAGAAGTGACTGATATGCTCACTGCACCATGGAAGTGCCTTTATCCACACCAAAGCACAACCCGTCGTACTGAAGGCCTGGTTTAGACACTTCTATGTAGTTTCCAGCGAAAAGGGTTGATAGTTTCGCGAACAATTTTTTTCGCCGAATTTCTATTTTATCTGTTTCGCCACGAAAAAAAGCGAAATTTTCGCGAAATATGAAATGCGAAAATTTCCAGTAAAACATAAAAATTTTTGCGGAAAAAATGCGAAAATTTCAGCTGGTAAAAATACGAAAATTTTTCGAAAAGAATATGGAAGAGAAATTATTAATTAACTTCTAAGGCTTGATTCTCAGAGTTGAGAATTCCACAAGCTTTTTTAGCACCTTAGGTTTTCGCTGATTTTTAAATTAGACATATTTGATAAATATTTCAATTAGGTCTACAAATACCAATCGTGTCCTGTAGTGTGTGTAGAAAGAATGGAGGTTCATGTTCATAAATGGGCACAGTAAAGTTATAAACAACATTTAAAATAATATCTTGTCAAGGCCCGGCAAGAAAAAATAAAGGACTACAGAGAACTGTTTTATTAAATTATCTAACATATTTAGCATTTTTATTTTTTATTCTTTATTTTGTGCTTCATAAATTTTCTATAAGTAAATGTGTCCCAATTAGAAAAAATTACAAGCATAAAAATCAACATTTTTTTCTTTCTTTGATCTTACAAAGAATTCATAAGAAGGGAACATCACATATCACAGCACATCAAAACTAGCAGAATCGTAACACAGAGGGTGGGGGGATAGTGTGTGTAGAAAGAATGGAGGTTCATGTTCATAAATGGTCACAGTAAAGTTATAAACAACATTTAAAATAGTATTTTGTCAAGGCCCAGTAAGAAAAAATCATATAATGTTATAATCATATTTACAGAAAAATGTTTTTTTAAATTATCTAACATATTAAGCATTTTTATTCTTTATTTTGTGCTTTAAATTCATAAATTTTCTATAAGTAAATGTGTCCCAATTAGAAAAATTACAAGCATAAAAATCAACATTTTTTTCTTTGATCTTACAAAGAATTCATAAGAAGGGAACATCACATATCACAGCACATCAAAACTAGCAGAATCGTAACACAGAGGGTGTGGGGGGGGGCAAGTCCTCTTGTACCCCTGGGATTTTTGGAAAAGATTAAAAATAGGTGTTAGGTAAAAGATGAACTTGACCTCTCTGAAAAATGATGTTTCCCCCTAAAAAGTAGTTAAACATTTTTCTGCATTTTCAGATTTAAAATTATTATTTCTAAATTCTCTTTCTTCTAAAATCGCCCACCCCAAACTATTTCTCTTAACTAGTTTTAACTACAGTTACTAAATAAACAATTATAGCTTTATGCATTATGGATATCGGACTAATGAGTAAACTTAGCAAAGACTTTCCTTCATAAATCATGATTTTTTTAATGATTTTCAATTGATCCATGGATTGAAATATTTCTTATATTGGCATGTTTTTTTTTCAAGACTTCCTGCACAGTACATAAATCTTGCTTTACTCTCCCAATTGTTTTTCAATGCTGGTCAAAGGAACATAGTTTACGCCAAATAAGGTTTTTCTTGATATAATTCCAGTTCTATCCTAAATAAAGATCAAAATAATAACAATAACATGACAATAAAGCATTAATAAACTGATTATAACCAAAGCAATATAAGCAAAACAAGAAACAATACAACTTAGTAAAATTTCAATATCTTCTATATTAAACAAAATAATATAAAATAAGGTTACTTTATCTATCTGATCTAGCGTCTGATGACCTCCTTCAGGACCTACAGGAATAATAAGACGACCTCCAGGGGCCAGCTGGTCAACTGCACGAACAAAATCATTATCAATGTCTGCGATGAAATATGTATAAGGACTAAAATAATATTTAAAACATGTCTAAATAAGGTTGCACATTGCTAAATTATATAAACAGTCCTATTAGTGCAGTGCCCCCCACCCCAGGGTGCACATTACCCCTGACGCGTGTCCCCCAGTGCAGGGGGGCCCGCCCTATTTTTGGTTTCATGAAATTGTGCTTGTCTCAAAGATAAAGAGATTGCCTAAATGTTGGGGAAGTGTTGGAGCCGCGGCACCAACATGTATGGCATCATATGGACCTCCAGAACTGTATCCCTGGAAAAAATGTCTGTCAAAAAAAATCGGCTTGAAACGATTTTAAGATATCTAAATAGCTTAAACTCTACAACTTCACAATAATTTCAGGTGAGTACAGAAAATAAATGATTAAAAAATCAGCTCAAAAAATAATTTACGAAAATAGATCAAAGAATGGAGTGACAGTGAGAAAACATAAAATTATAAAGCCAATTGACAACAAAAAAAATAATAAAATTTAAATTCATATTTACGGAAAAAAATATCCCACAAAATTTTAACGGAGAAAGATCATTGAAAATTAGACTTAAATGGAATTTACGTAGCGTGGGATTTTCTTGATAGGATGGATTTGTGAATGGACGAAATGCTAAACAAGAGGAGAGATAATTCTTATAAACTTTGCTGAGCTGAAAACTCTAGAATGGTGGATATTGATATTAATGCTTGATCGCGTATAAGAAGCCCGGAAATTTGAAATTTTGCGCGCCATTTCAGATTAACATACAGAAACGAGAGGGACTCTCTAATTGAAAAAAACGGTTTTTGATTTTTCTCTACTATAACCAAGAAAGAGTAGTTTAAGAAGTGTGTCCATTGGATACTCAGATTAAGTAATCGGGATTAAGAATATCTCATTCTAAAGTTTTCAGCTCTGGTCAGTTAATAGGTCAAACTTAAGATGCTCAAATTAAACTTTATTCAAAACATCAAACTTAATAAATAAAGATTTAAGTTATTTGGAAAAATAATGGCATGTTCAACAAACTACACAGGTACACACAATAGTAGTACTATATACACCACCAACCACGTTATATTATGCCTAGTTGGAAACATATTAATAATTCAATTGAGTAATTTGAAAAGAATTTATAAGAGTTTACCTGTCTACCATCTCCTACAACAAGCTGAAGCTGACCATTGGTTAAAAGGGATTCCTTACCATCACGTAGGAGATTCTCTTTGGACATCTCAACTAGGCCAGATATGTGGTCTGCGAATAAAAGATTATGATTATAATAATTATAATTATATATATATCTATTTCAAAACTACTGAAATTGGCAATCAGGCCATGAAACAATTTAAATAGTACAATAAAAATAATATAATAAAAATGAATACCTATTCCGACCACCTTGCCACTAGGCCCAACCATCATAGCCATGCAAGCAGTAAGTATTCCACTACCTTAATTAATGTTTGTACAATTACACATTATACAGTAAATCCCAATAAAGATGGGAATTATAAAATATAAATAACATTATACAGTAAATCCCAATAAAGATGGGAATTATAAAATATAAATAACATTATAAAGTGAATCCCAATAAAGATGGGAATTATGAAATATAAATAACACTATACAGTGAATCCCAATAAAGATGGGAATTATGAAATGTAAATAACATTATACAGTAAATCCCAATAAAGATGGGAATTATAAAATGTAAATAACACTATACAGTGAATCCCAATAAAGATGGGAATTATAAAATTATAAAATATAAATAACACTATACAGTGAATCCCAATAAAGATGGGAATTATAAAATATAAATAACATAATACAGTAAATCCCAATAAAGATGGGAATTATAAAATATAAATAACATTATAAAGTGAATCCCAATAAAGATGGGAATTATGAAATATGAATAACATTGTACATTGAATCCCAATAAAGATGGGAATTATAAAATATGAATAACACTATACAGTAAATTCCAATAAAGATGGGAATTATAAAATATAAATAACACTTTACAGTAAATCCCAATAAAGATGGGATGGGAATTATAAAATATAAATAACACTATACAGTAAATCCCAATAAAGATGGGAATTATAAAATATAAATAACACTATACAGTAAATCCCAAAAAAAGATGGGAATTATAAAATATAAATAACACTATACATGGAATCTCAATAAAGATGGGAATTCTAAAATATAAATGACATTATACAGTGAATCCCGATAAAAATGGGAATTCTAAAACATAAATAAATGTCAAAAAGTGTTTCAACAGGTCTTAAGATTTTTTAAAATTGGGGTAATTGATCAGATAATCAGATATCAAATATATTTAGATTTTATATGAAAACTATTTTTTTGATGGGGGGGGGGGGTAAGTGGCGGCCTCTTCCAAGCCAAATATCTGGGGGTCGGTGGGGGCAAAAATCTGAGGGTAGAGTTATTCAAATACAAATTATTACAGATAATAAAGGTAAGTTTACTGTTTCAAAGGACACTTCTACCGGTGTTTAAATTGAAAAGTTATATTTAATATCAGTTTTTCTTAAGCGGTTAAGAAATTGCTTAGACTCTTTACAGTTAAGAACAAGATAAAAAATGATTTTTTATTTTTAAACACTGGAAACTTGACACAAATGTTTTAAAATTCTATTTTCGTTTTAACCTCTGGAATTACATATTTCGTAAACCTCTTTTGCCTTCAACTGCTGGAAATGAATATTTTATTTTTATTTTTTACTCTCAAGTCTCAACTGTAACATTACACATTTTTTTAATATAAATCTATAAACACACATTTTCATAGCAAACAAATATATGTAAAAATGTAAAACCCAGCGGTTGAGGGCAAAAAAAACATTGACAAACAAAATACGTTTTTAGAGGTTGAATCAATCTTTAATTTAAGAAATAAAAAAGTCACATTTCTTATTTTGCAAACTATGACGAAGATTCTTGAATACATCTCAACCCCTCGTTTAACCGCTACCGCAGCACCGCTGAGTTTTATTTCTCCAAAATATCTATCATTGTAAAACAATATAATTTTAAGAAATCAAAAAATTTGAAGTAAAAAAGTGGATTTTTCAAATGCTTCATTATTTTTAAATGGCTTAAAGAGCTATATATTATTTAAAATTTAAAGAATAGATTTACCTGATCCGACATCAAGAGCTTTCATTCCTGGTTTAAGATTATCCTTGAGTAATTCTGAAATATTGATCAAATATGAATGAAATATTAGACCAGACCGGACATTTTTTTTCTCGTTAATTTTCCTCAAAAATTGACAGCATTGAAATTCAGTGATTAAAACGCCGCTGTACTTCATTATAAACTAGAAAAATGTTGATATGAAAAGGAGGGAGGGAAATATTTTGAATAAAAATATACCCCTTTTAAAGTCTAGAAAGAAGATCAAATAGTTTAGAAAATTGTCCAACCTAAACAATGCGCGTGCATGTGCGGGGCACTGATAGTGATTCCAAATCCAATCCTTTGCAGAAAATCATTATTCGGTTAGAAGGATGTCAAAAATAAAAGTGGCAAGATTTGGTAAACTCCCCTCAATATTTCTGTTTACTGCTCCAGTGCTTAATCTTTAAATAATTTATATGGTTGAGATCTACAAACAAGAGGGGGCAAAGGGGCACGTCTTGTCCTTTTCTTCCGAAGTGGGGCATATAGGCACAGTGGTTTAAAAAGCAAATATCTTGGCCATCAGTAGATAACAGGCAATAACTTTTAAACAATTTTGACTAGAAATCAGATACTTTGCAAAATTAATGGGTGTTTTCCATATTTCGTGATCTTAATAATTGCCTTTTTTTGAAGGTGATAACTTATGAATTAGAATCATAAACTTTTTATTTAATATTGGCGCCTCCATATCAAACAAATGACTCATATTCAAAAATATTTTTTTAATTTATTAATAAAAGGTCATGACCAAAATTTTTTTTATTTTTTTAATTACACATCATAAAACTCTGTCAGGGACTAAAAATTGTAAATTAATGTATTGTCATAATATTTTCCTTGCACGAATAGCCTAAACAGTTGTTTAGTCGGCATTCCTAATTTTTAAGCATTGCCGAGGTGTCACGGTCAAAAAAATATCGCTTACGGTCCTCTCCTTATATATCTTTAAATTTTGTTATCTTTAAAGTCTACCCCCCCCCCTTGCAAAATTCCTATCACGGGTCTGGACTAGATATGGGCTAAATTTTCGAACCATGACTTTCATTTTTGAATAATTATTTCCTTTTAGGAGAATCATCATATGGGTCGCTCTTGCAGTAATTTGCACGGTCAACACTTTTCATCACATCCAAAACCTGAAAAATAATTTTATGCTTAAAATAAACAAATTGAAATTGCAGCACTTCTATTAAAAAATGTTAATAAAATAGCTCCTGGTTTTGCTTAGAATTGTCTGTTCGTTAATTAAATATTCAAACATGGAGATGGACGGTTTTCATATGAGGAAAAACAATCAAGAACCTATCAAAGTAAGATTTCCTTTTAGCGAAGTGGGAATGTTGTGCATAATCCTGCTTCAGGTATGAATATTGAATCACCCTGTAAAAATATGAGTTTAAACCCTTAATCACACTATATTTTTACTAGGTCACCCTGTATATTTTTGGATCACCCTGGCCCCTGTGTAAAGTGTAAACACTGTTGATCACCTTTTAAATTTTTATATGTGGATCCCCAAGTAAAGGTGTGAACATGAATTTTCTGAAAATAACGAGAAACCTGTTTTGATTGTATGATGTTATGTTTAAACAGATTATCCACCAACTCGTTGTTTGATCCACCTCCACATCGCCAGGCCATATTTCTTTTTCCTGATACATAAAATGTTTATTTCCATTGTATCGCAACCATTTCAAATCATATTGTACAGTGTACACGTAAAAATCATAAAAAATCATAGTAATTTGAAAAAATATTTAATTTAAGTATACATGAATTTATGCATTCTTTGAAAAATAAATATAAATGAAGTAACAAAGTCATGTCAGTAATGACATGAATTGGACCTCCACCCTGTGTTTAGTTGAGTGTGACGTGCTATAATATTTGCTGGGGGGGGGGGGGGGGAATATTTGAACAATCGCTCGCGATGCGGGCCAAAATTTGTATTCCCCCTGAAATTTGGTCATTTTCATGAGTATAACCAGGCACGCAACTAGACATTCAGCTAGAGGAGGGGGGGGGGGGGGCAGGGGTAATATTCCCCCCCAAAAAAAAAACATTCCTAGGGGGGGGGGGGGTGCAAGAAAAAAGTGTATTTTAATGAAACATGAAAAAACTACTTTACCAATTCAGGATATTTTTTGGGGAAATTTTTATATTTGGGGGCATTCATTCAGTATTGGGCAAATTAGTGTGAGACAAATCTTAATTGGGCAATTTTTATTTTTGGGGGGGCTTTTTTCAGTTAGGTGAATTTTGTGAATGGGAAATCTTAAATCTTTTTTTTGGGGTCAAATTTTTATTTAAGGGCATTTTTAAAATACATAAAGGGGCATTTGTTTAAACTAAGGGTTATTTGGTTGTTGGGGGGGCAAAACTTCTTAATTTCTGAGGATTATCAAAATAAAATAAGGGAAATTTTTTAAATAGGGCTGGGAATTTTAAAGTTGGTTGTATTTAAAAAACATTTGGGGGTAAAAAAAATAAATTTATGTGCGAATTAAAACTATTTAGTGGAATTCTAAAAAAAAACAATGGTAGGAAAGGGGCAAATGTAAATCTGGTGGGGCAATTTGAATAGGAATGTGTGAGTGTAATTTTAAAAATCCAAATTCGGAGGCATATTCTAAAGAAAGGGGATAAAAAGAATCTGAGCTTATATTGAAAAATGTTATAGTTGAATTCGAGTATGCTTAAAGAGTGAAGGTTTAAAAAAAAATATAACTGTGGGGGCATATTTTTTCAAATTTTCTAGACAATAAATGTTAACCAATATGGACCCCAGTTAAGGAATTCATACCCCTCCTACAGGGGGGGGGGAGCTTTCTTAAGGGGAGCATGCCCCCCTTAATTAGGCTGTGGGGAAACCTGCCCCCCCCCCCAAAGTTGCGCGTCTGGGTATAAACAAATTTTAGCTTTTGGGTCTGTCCTAGTGAACGATTTTTGGACCCCCCCCCACAGGCCCATGATCAAACTGGTTTTTATTTAGTATTATTTAGGGTTAGGTTAGGACACTTTCTAGGCCGAGCGCTGTGGCTAGGATGGGCTAGGTCCAGGGGGCCGAGCGCTGCGGCCACGGGTTACGTTAGTTAAGACACTTTCTGGGCCGAGCGCTGCGGCTAGGATGGGCTAGGGGCCGAGCGCTGCGGCCAGGGGTTAGGTTAAGTTGAGACACTTTCTGTAAAATCCATGTACAAAATTGATCGGAGGGGGGGGGGCCTGGGGGGTCCAAAAATCGTTCTCTAGGAATATACCTAATTTTTTTTACAGAATTATAGAATCTATTCTTGAAAATCTATATAAAATGGTGCCTTTTTCTCTTCTCTTTAGAGGAAGGGACGTCCCCCAAACTTTATAGGGGAATAACAGCCCTCATTCCCCCCCCCCCTTAGACACTGCGTCCTGCAGTTATAATATTTTAGCAAGTTAGATAGATAAATTATTATTATTATAGCTTTATAACGTTAAAAAAACAAGCTTAAATAATGGTAAAGATATACAGACATTTCACCTAAAACTTGGTTGTAAAGCTTTCTGCACAGCACTTTTCTTTTCATTAACGTTATTAATAACAATTCATTTTTAATCTATTTCTTTGCTTTGTTTTGAATCTATCTGACTTCTAGCGATAAAATCTTGAAATGCCGCGTGCCATCATATTTTCTAGCAATCAACTAATAGTCTTATATATTTAGGAAACTTGCACTCAATTTCTTGCTATTCCACGAGAAGTAATAGATTCAATCAAAGTTTTCAATAAAGATGAAAAGTACAAATTTGAACTTAATATAGTAATAATTTTTAAGCAAATTAGCAGTGAAATAAAATAAAGTAAATATTTATTTGAAAGTCGTCTTCTACATTTTGTTTTTCTAGTGTCGTGTCAATCGGACTTCTCGGACTAATGATTAATCGGACAACCTTTATTTGTGCTAATGTTCATTCGGAGTAAGGCCCGTAGCTAAGAATTTGTTAAGGGGGGGGGGCACAAAAGTAAAAAATAACATAGATTGATAAGGAAGGGGTTTGCATCAGGCGAATTTAACTATAGTAGAGTAAAAAACTAGATTTTTAACTTATCACACATTGTTTAAATTAAGGATATTTTGCCTGTTATTCATTCCCATGATTGCTATTGAATAATTAAGAAGCTATTTGCATCAAAACAAAACAAAAACTGGAGGAATAAGATTTAGAGATTTGAGTTAAACTAAATGAATATAAATGTAATACTGAAAAATTTTAATCACGAATAGCCAATGCTATAATACAGGGACAGTAAATGACGTAATTACGCGTAACACTTTCTTTCACTTACGGAGGAGCATTACGCGAAATTACATGCTTTAATTACGTATGCGAAAGAAAGTTTAGTTTCGCGTTATGAAGGCGTAATTTACGCGAAATTACGTAATACGAAACCATTCCGTAATTAGTAAAGTACAAATTAATTCTCAGAAATGAGTATAGCGGGAAAATATGTGTAGGATATGTGCGTTTACAACCATGTCCAATGATCCAATCTGATTGGATAATTTAAATACTTTCAAATTAAATTTAAAAAATCGTTTATGGTGATGGACCAAACCTCTGTAGAGAAAAAAGTAGATGTTAGTTCCACATTTCTTTGAAAATATATTTAGGATTAGAGGTTAACCCTTGTCAGTTGTAACTATAACCATCAAAATCGATGTTAAAAACCACAAGAAAATAAACAAACAAAAAAGATTATTAAACAAAAATTTAAATGAGGGGCATTTTTAAACCTTTTAAAGAATTGAAAATAATTTTTTTTTAAATACTGAATTACAGTTTACAATTAAATATAAACTATTTTTTTCTGTTTATTCCTGTGAGATCAGTCATAAAACCTCCGATGTATTTAGATTCGATCATACATAAGTAAACTTCTCATAAGGTCCCAAACCTTCTCTAGTATATGCTAACTTTTAGATGGTAAAATTTATGTCCAGGAAGGTTATGGAACATTATTGCAACATTTCACGAAATTACTTTTGTATTAATTACGCGAAATTGAAGTTTCACCAATTACGCGAAATCCTACGAAAATGAAATGCAAATTATTTCGCGTAACTCACGTAATTTCGCGTAAGTGAATAATCTATTACGTTGGAAACCCTACTGAAAATATTTTCGCATTTTCGCGAAATTTTCGCATTATTACGCAAAAATATTTTCGCATTTTGCAAAGTAGCTGGATGGAAATGGCACAAACAAGAAATGTAAAGAATGGGGTATTGGATTATTTTAATTGGTTCCAATTTTAAACTCTAGAATTATGTATATTCTGTATACTGCACGGGAAGAATATGTTGCATAAAAATCTTGAAGAAGAATTTAAATGAATGAATTATTTTCCCCCGAGAAGCTGCAGGCATTTATTCAGAAAGGATGGAGAAAGCAAAGGCCTGGGTTCAGTTAGATTTTAAGTAATGAAGTTATGGGTATAGGGCCATGGATTCACGTGGCTGGTGAAATTAGGAAAAATTGACAATGTTAGCAAGAGCCTGGGGTAAAGTTTTGAGTTTTGGGCAGGAAAGATGGCCCCAGCTTACAAGGAACTAATTGATTAAGTAGTTTTCAGAAAGGAAGGGGGGTTAAGTAAAATTGAGGATTTCTGATGAGCTCACAAAAGCATTGTTTAGGAAATTCTTTATTTGAAAATTTTTAAAGTAGAGTTACATGATACCAGACTCTCGCCCAACACTTTAGTTTATCAAATTCCTTGCGGGGAATAGCTTTGACATGTAAATCCACCCAATCCTCCAATCTATATGATAAATATATATATATTTGTATATATATTTATATGTTAGCTGTATGATGGCCAAACGGCTGGACCAAATGGGCTGCAATCTTTTAAGAAAACTCATAGGTGCCTTTTTTTTAAATTCAGATTTTTTCATAATTCAAAATTTTTTTAAGTCTTTCGCAAATTCTACGGGTAAAGCCGGAAACTTCAGCTAGCAATTAATATTTCCCTTTAAAAACGCTGAATTTATCGACTATAATTTGAAGCAACAAGAATATAGAATATTTTCTTCTCTTTGAAAAATTTTTCATAATATGTTTTAATTGTTATGATCTGAGAGTTACTTATAAAAACATTTATTCCTGTTTCGAGGATTTTTGGTAATGAAGACGACATTTTCATATTTTCCAGGAATGTTTGAAAACAAGTTGTAAGCTAAATATTATTTTAAAAGATAAAATCAAAACATATTATGAAAACTCAACTATACAAATGTGGCGAAAGATAATCGATGACTATAGGTTGTAATATCTGAATGATTTGTTTGAAATTAAATAGATTTTTTTTACGGTCCAAGTCGTATGTTGCATATTTCTGAATTTGTATGGACATTACGTTCTTCAGTATTAGTCGTTTTTAACAATTTTCTCCTTATAGACGCAACAGCTAGAAGTAAGATTAGTAGCGATCAAAAGCGCTTTTTTATCGCATTAAGCCTATACCCCCTTTCATTTATCGCAAACACTCCCTTTAAAACACACACCACCCCGCTTATCATTGAAGTACACTTTGACCCCTAGAAGTATGAGTTCGCGGACTGTACAATTCTTGGTGATTTTGCGTACATAAGCTATCTGTGTTTATTTATTTATCTATGGTTCTAAAGCTATCGTGGAGTTTAGAATCTGACTAAATATAATTAAATGAAAATGAAGATAATACATCTATAAGAGAGAAGAGAATGAAAAAGAATAAAGATGGGAGGAGGGAAGGGTATTATATACCACTTAAACTCACATTATCGCCATACATTCCCTTCCTCTTACACTTCTCCTTCTTTAAAATATTCTCAAATCTGGAGAAAATATAAAATATTTGAAATATAACGTTTTTTATGGTAAATATTTAATCAAAATGTATTTATTAATGTATTAATGGCTAAATTTATTTTTTGCTTAAAAAATAGCAATAAAAAAGATAGTTTTTCGTTTTGTTATTAACTATGAATTAATACATACAAGTTTTTAGAAGCAAAATGGAAAGATTGATTAAAGAATCAGGGGGGGGGGAGTGGTTGTGCAAATTCTACACAATTTTCGTATGAGATAAGATTTTAAAAGGCGCAGTGACCCATGAATATTAAATAAACTTGTTCCTCCCATATTTCTGTTTCCTTTGCAGTATTTTGCAACAAAATTAATGCCAGGCAAACTTTCTGTCTCCAAGTTTTATTTCGTCTAAATAGTTTTATATCTTTCAAATTTTTCATCTGCAATCTCCTAATTTTATTTTTCCTTCTTCTCACTCCCCACTCGTTCAACGAGGGGAGGAAGACCAGCCACAACAACTTCTCGTTCGAGCCACATTCTCCTCATTTTCTCGTCCGAACAACCTCTAAATCATCGTCCTTCGATTATAATGTGTCTAAAAGTTTCTAATTCTTGTAGATAAAATTATCTTTAACAAATCCATGGCCACGTTAGGGCATAAAATATGGATGACTAAAGTATATCTTTGAAATCTGGCTGTATAAAAGTTTAATATTTAGATTATTAAATAAAACATAATTCATATAGTGTAATATAACGAAATTGGGTTGCAAAGATTTAGAGATAAGAAAATCAGAGTTTGTGGCAAAAACTCAATCCTTTGATCAACCTTGCTCATGAGTTTGATCCTCTCCTAAATGAGAATGATGTCAAACTTTATTTAGGTAAAACTTAAAACTCTTCTGCCTCCATAATGGCCAACCTTCGCGATATGAAATAAATAGCAAAATATTTTCCCAATGGAACCACACAGAAAAAATCGATGGTTTTCACTATAATTAACAAAAAAGGTTAAAGTTTTATAACCTCGGAATTATTTGCGGCATTCTACACCAGAAATATCTGAAAATGCGCGTAATAAAGGTGAACATTTTTAAAGGACATAGAACTCGAAAACCTCAATTCAATAAAATTTAATATTTTAATTATATGCCCTAACGTGGACCGATTCTTAAAAAATAGTTTTATCTTGGAGGACTAGACACTTTTAAAAAATAATATTGGAAGGACGAGGATTTAGAGGTGGCTCAGACGAGACCTCCTCGGATCCCCGGTAGTTTGTTTGTTAAATATATTCCATCTTTTCCATTAACCTTCCTCTACCCTCCTTCCCTTTCCCTCCTTCTTCTTCCCCATCTCCCCTTCCCCTTTCCTCCTTCCCATTCCCTCCTTCCCCTCCCCTCCCTTCCTATTTCCACCTTCCCTCCTTCCTCAATTCCTTCTTCCCTCTACCGGTGATTGAGGTTTGGTATCTAGCTTGAACAGATGAGTACCTGTCCATAGAAGGCCTCCCAAAAAAAAAGAATTTGTTCAATTAAAAGAAAAAGAAAATTTTGCAAACGGTAAAAAATCGTTTCTTTAGTGCAATATATATACTTTACCATAAAAACTACATATGTAACAAATCATAATTTTGAAAATTAGGAGAAATGAAAAAGCAAAAGAAGAAAAGGCCGAGAGAGAAAGTGAAAAGTAGAATACAGATGAAAAGAACGAGACAAAATTAAGAATGAAAAAAACAAATATGAAAAAAAGTCAATACAGAGGAGAAAACGTGGAAAAGAAAAATATGGAGAGAAGTATTTTGGACACACTGT